GACAGACAGACAGACAGATGAAAAGTCCACTCCCAGGTTTGTCCATAATGTGTGGAGACAGAGTCCAGACCCGTGCTGATTTATTCCAGCAAGCCTGTAGCTTTCTGGTGTGGTAGTAGAGAATCTCAGTATGCCTGCGCCTTCTGGCTGAGACCAGACTCCTATGGCACCTTCCATGGGCCTGAGCCCAGCCACAAGCTGCTAGATGGAGCCTGAAGCTGCTCTGAGTTCTGAGCTCAGTCAGCCCCTTTCCAAGATGGTTCCTGGCCAATGGCTCTCTCATGCAGGATGACTGGGCCCTCTGCACCCACCGCCAGCTAATGCCGCCCTTCATGTCTGTTACTCCCCTCCTCTGCTGTGTCTCTCTGTGGAGGCCTCTGGGACCCCCAACTGTCACCACATGTCTGCAGGTTTGAACTGCTCCTCTCACACACTGAGTTGCATCTCAGAGAGAAGGCACTGCCAGCTACCTCCTCCTCCTCCTTCACTGAAATTTCTCTCTTCACTCTCTCCATGGGCTTCACATCATGCTTCAGATCCTCCCAGGTCACCCACTTCCCTCTTTCTCATCTCCTTCACATTGCTGTATTCCAGCATCTGGACAGGGACTCAGAGCTCTTTCTCTGCTGCTTACTACTCAGCCATCTTGGTGCTCCCACTCAGATAATATTTTGAAAGCATTTTTTGTTTGTTTTGAAAGAATTTTCAAATGTTTGTATAAACTTTGAATGAAATATTTTTAGCCATATTGTCAAACTATGTTGAGGTCAAAATGCTCCTTAGTTCAAAAATGTTAAAGTCACAATGTCCCATGTTTTCACAAGACTTACCACTTCAAATTCATCATGCATCCAACTGATTTCCCTTTCTATTCTCTATTAGCTGAATTTCCCAACTATTCTTGTCATTGTCACTGCTTCCTTCTAATCACACAAATTATGACTTTGGTGCCATCCTGGCTTGCCTCACTGTATTGATCTCATGCTCTGTATTGACCCTGTCACCAAGAATTGTTTCATCTCCTTTCATGACTCTTTTTAGACCTACCCTTTCCTCCTTTTCCTACCCTAGCCCACCTCTCTTCACCAGGGGTGGACCGCAGCCTGTCGGTGTCCATGCTTCAAGACAGTCCCTATCTGCTCCAACCCCACCCATGACCCTTGCTGCCAGCACATCCTTTGACTGGGAATCTCCAGAGGCCTCTTAATGCATACAGAGCCAGGTCCTGGCTTGTGCACTGTTTTTCAAAGCCATCGTTGCCCGCTGACTTTGTGCCCAGTCAACTCTGTTTCTCACAGTTTCCCCAGATGATCTTTCTTCATGACTAATCTCCCTGCTGACCAGGAGACACAACTGTTCATCCTGCCTCCTGCTATGCTCAAGCTGTTCCTGCTTGAAATAGCCTCATTTGTGCCTTTCTACACCCAGCCCTGCTCACAAAATGCTTAAGGTGTCTGCATTTTAGTACGGAAATACTGCATGCCCTTTGTAGAAAAATTTGGATGATACACAGAATATATATATATATATATATAGAGAGAGAGAGAGAGAGAGAGAGAAACCTTCTCACCCCATTTGGTACATTACCTTCCAGTATTTTCTATATACTTATCTTTTTTTTTTAACCTAGTTGAGACTGTTCAGTGCATGCTTACTTGAATCTTGGTTTTTTAGTTCTTTAGGCATTCTTTATAAACACTGTGTTTAATAGTTCCTGACTTTCACTATATGGATATACCACAATTTACTCAGCTGTTCCTCTATTGAGGAAAGTTGTGGTGGTCTCCAAGAATGTTACTGTACATGAGAAATATATAATTCTTTATGCCTATTTTAAAAATATATTTTAATTTTTTTAATGGTTTTTCATCATATTCTGTAGGGACTTAAAGTTCAACATATCAATACTTGATGAAAAATACCTGTTCCATATTATGCCTAAGATGTTTGATATTCAGACAGTGAGGTTAAGCTTACCAGCCTAGGTTGTATGATAATAACAATAAGCTTCTCTTCTGGAAGGTTAACAACCTAAGTTTGCAGACCAAAATTAGAGAAAAAGGAGGGCCACAAGGAAAGCCAACATTTTGGCCCTAGTCTTCCAAGGTCAATTAAGACTCAGGACATATGAGATCTTGTACTGTAATATCATGTAACTCAGTAGTATCCCAAATTTTCTGATCAAGGAGATTATGGGGCCAAAGAGGAAAATGATCAATGATGTAGAGTGTGCCTAAGGAGAGTCACATGGAAAGAAAACATTCTTGGGGTGGGAGAGATGGCTCAGTGGAATAAGCACTTCCCTGACAAGCGCAAGGGTCTGAGTTCAATCCCCGGTTCCGGTTCCGCCAGAAAAAGAAAGAAAGAAAGAAAGAAAGAAAGAAAGAAAGAAAGAAAGAAAGAAAGAAAGAAAACATTCTCTCAGGCTTTCACAGAGAGTTCACTGGCCAAGCAATGGCCATGACTCATCCACATGGCTGACACTGACAAGGGATCTACAATCTGAGGTACAGAATTATCCTGAGGGGATTTGACTGACCTTATCAGATCCAAAAGCTACAACTTTTGTTGCATAGGTCTTGCTTTACCTTGGTCTTAACCAACCAGCAGAAAAGTATAAAAACGAAGTATAAGAAGTAAAGCCATGCTGTTATGTTGAGCTGTAGGGGACTCAGGTCAACAATTTCTGACATTGCCAGTGAAGCGGAAGACTCAATACTATTATGGACTACTGGACTCTTTTAGACTATTTTGCTGAGTTAACACACCTATAATATTTAAATGATGGAACTAAACAAAAAAGGGGATACAGATGAATGTCTATTTTGTATCTGTGTATTCAAAGTGGTTAGGATAGATATATAGTTTCATTCTCTTAATGAATAGAGGGATTTGTTCTAATGGTGTTTGTAAATAGGATATCATGTCTGCATCTTGTACAGCAAATAACCACTAGGAAGAGAGTATGCAATGTGTTAATTATTGAAACTGTCCTACCAATTTGATTTGAAACTGTCTCATTGCTATTTGCTTCTCAATAAAATTATGGAAAAAAATTAAAAAATAAAAACCAGGAAAAAATTTTAAAAATGTTATTATAGTCTACTGGTGAACATTTTTAACATATACTTATGCTGGTATTTCTAATTCTGTTCATACATTAAATTCTAACAAATAGAATTTAAAAGTTGTATATTTCCTGATGGCTATTACCTAGTAACATCCAAGTTTGTACAAACTTGTACTCTTGTCAGCAGTATAAGAGCATTTCTCTCTTTATATAACTTTCAAAAATTTTAAATTTGCTTATTTGTGTATAACAATTATCATCTCACCCACATGTATGTGTCTATTCATGAGGTAAAATCATTTACACATATTTATTGCCTTTTAGTTATATTCTTTTCTGTGGATTGTCTGTTCATTTTCTTGCCCATTTTCCTACTTGGTTCTTGTTTATTTCTGTGAGCTCTGTATACTATGGATGAAAACCTTTTGTTTATATTTACCAGTTTATACAATTGTTTTCCCAATCCATTGTTTTAAAATTCTGTGTATAGTGGTTTTACTTTACATTTTTTTTTGTCTTTTCTTCTTTTGAGACAGGGTCTCACTATGTAGTTCAGGCCAGCCTCGAACTCACTCTGTGGCCCACGCTGGTGGCAATCCTCTTGCCTCAGTCTCCCAAGTGCTAGGATTATAGTGTGTGGTACCACTCGTGGTTTGTCATATTCCTTTTTTTTTTTAAAAAAAAAAAACTTAAGAGCATAACTTATTTATAGTTACATATATTACTTCTTTCTTGGTGATAGTTATATTTAGAATGTTCAATTAAAATTTTACTTATACCTTCTTATTGGTTTTTCTTGAACTCTCCTTATAGACTATTTCTATCTACTCTGCTAACTGAATTATATTTTCATTTAGGCAAGAAATATTCTTAATCTTCTTACAAAATATTCTCACTGATATTGAAACAATCACCTTTGTCATACTTGAAATTTTGTAGAACTGTGAGTCTCTGCCTTGAGCATATATTGGACTCACCTGGGCAATTTGAAAAGCTACTGGTACCTCAACCTCATCCCCAAATCCCCAATCTCATTATTATGGGGTGCAGCCTGGGTATAGAGGAAGAGGGGGTCAAAATTCACTCAGGGGGACCCTGAATCGCAGCTGAGTTAACTGATGCTGCTTGAATGCGAAGGACCTGGTTCTCAGCTGAGGGAATGCATGGAAAGAACTTCGGGAGTTGGGAGCAGCTCCACTTCACCCGGGACAGTTGCATTCCGTTCTCTAGGCTGGATGTGCATCCTAGAGGAAGTGCGAGAGGCTCTCGGTGTGCCCTTGGCAGAGAGGCTGCTACAGGACTACCTGTCCCCATTCCTGCATCTATCCACTTATCTCTGGGCTCTGCCACCCTGAATAGAAACTGTGGTTTTATCACTAATTATGTGCTCCTTTACAACCCTTGGGTAATTTGCAGCTATTTGCTTTTACCTGTTTGTGCATCTACATCAGTGGCTTTCAAATTTTTACCTGGGGAACTTGGCCAAAATCCAAGGGCCCAATTTCTGTGTGAACATGAGCTTGGGGTTCATTTTCTTCGTTAGTATTCTAGTGGATTCTGAAATACACTAAAAAGTTGTGAGCTACTGTTGTAGAATCCAGATTATGTTCTTGTGTTGTTTGGTTTTTGTTTAAAAATGATCCTATTTGGTTTCTTTTTATTGTATCTGCATTAAGTTGCCAATATAATCTTCCAGGCCCAACTTGACTCAGTTTCCCTATAAAGACTTCTCATTATTCTAGCCCATATTCGCTACTCAAAACTCTAAAGTCCTAACTAACTGACAGCCTGCAATTGTGCTTGCATCCTTTCTTGCTATGGGATTTGGGTCTCCTACCAGTTTATAAGCACCTAGATGGCTGGGTCTGGTATCTCTTTCATAGTTTCCAATGTAGTATTGGCTGATGGAAGGCATTCAATAAGAGCTTACCTTCATAATTTCCACGAATTCATGAAGCTTATCAAAATCTTTGTCCATTATATCCTTTATCTAGTGAGAAAGAAAAGTATGACTTGACACAAGCATGGAGCATATTTCTAAAGTCAGATGTGGCATCTTTGGGGGGCATTTTAAGCAAAGGGCAGCAGCTGTACCTCTGGCACAGACTAATAAGGTCCTATGAAGTCATTTTCTTTCCAGGGAGGCTATGAGAGGACTAGGATGCATATGCTACCAAGTCGCTCCACTGACAGCATTGGTGTGGCTTAGTTGTGGCTCTTGCAAGGCTTACAGATGGAGCCCAGATCACAGCTTCAGTGATGCCTTCCTGCTTGATTACTGCCCTTCCCTAAGTAGGCCATAGATGGTTGTCATAGAAACAAGAGTTCTTGCCACACAGCTCTCCAAAGGGTGGTGAATGAGGAGGATGCAGTTGTTTCCTGAGAGCCCCAACCCATGTCGATCCCTCACTCAGCTTTATCACAGAGGTAACCTCACACAACACCCCAGCCAGTGATGATAACCTTTGAGAGCTTTCAGTGGTACAAGCAGTTGCTGTGGCACTGGTTTGCCCCCACTGGCCTAGGTGGTAGGGAAGTTTGGGTCACTCAGCAACTGGGTTTAAGCATCAAACAAGTAAGAAATGAATATCCTAAAGCATGGAACACATAAGCACTCAAAGGGGTTAAGACAATTTGCTTTTCCTATACAATTCCTTGTTTCTTTTACTTTGCAAAGGTAGGAATTGCATTTTTTTTAAGCTCTACTTTCTCTACATGTTATATAAAACCTTATCCTGTTACCTGTTTTATCTCCTCCATTTTTTCCTTGAGTTCTTCTCTCACCTCTCTGAGTTCATTCTGAGGAAAGGAAGTAAGGGAAAGAGGAGGTAAACAAAAATCTTGGACAGAAGAGAACTTTTCATGGGAGGAAAGGGCAGATCCTGAAGGCCATTCTAAAAAAGGAGCAGAGGGAAACTTCCACAAGGAGGAGAGGAGGATGCCGGGATGGTGGTCAGGAAACCTCAGCCATCATGGGCCTCCTAATGGGATGGAAGCTCAGGAAAGAGCACACTACCACTTCTTTGGGAGGCCTGCCCCAAGTCTACAGTTGAGAACAGCAGACAAACCCAAATTAGGGGTCATTCAGCAAAATAGTGACCTTTAATCTTTAAAAATGCTCTGAGTGAAGAGCGAAAAACAATTGGTAGTTTAAAGAGGAATGAAGAACTACAGCAATTAGAAGTAGTGTTTGATCCCAGATTAGGTCCTGGGACAGAAATATGTTCTTTTTTAATGAAAGAGATCATGATTGGTGAGATGAGAATAAAATCTACAGATTAGTACTGTATCTATGTTAATTTCCTGATGTTGAAAATTCTACAGTAGATATGTAAGAGACAGCAGGTTTTTAGGACATACATGCTGAAGACTGGTAAAAATTTACCAGTCTGTCAAACAGTTCAAAATACATATTCAGTCATCCCTTGGCATCTATGAAGGATTGGTTCCATGACCTTTCATGATGCAGAACATAAGAGACACCCATGGGGTGATACAATCTTAATCCCTACCGGGTATCTGGAAAAGGACAGCTTGCAGCTGCCCCTCAGTATCCACGGGGACTTGGTTCAGGGATTCCTGCAGATATCCAAATCTGCAGGTGCTTGCATCCCATTTGCATCATCTTATGTAAATGGTGTGATATTTGCATATAACCTGTGCATATCCTCTCATGTGCTTTAAATCATGTCTAGATCACTTATACCTAATACAATGTAAATGTTAGTATGTAGATAGTTGTTATACAGCATTGCACAGAAAATAAGAAAAAAGTCTGCACATGTTCAGACCAAAATTTCAGTATAGACACAAGTTTTTTCCAAACATTTTCAGTATGAAGTTAGTTGAATCAAAGATGTTGAACCATCCCATAAATATATAGGGTTTATTGTGTATGTGTGCATGCGTGTGTGTGTGTGTGTGTGTGTGTGTGTGTGTGTGTACAGAAAAAGAAACAGGAAATAAAGCAACCATGATAAAATGCCAACATTTGAGGAATCTGGGTGAGAGATATTTTAGTACTCACTGGCCATTTCCCCAAAATTTTATGTTAGTCTAAAATAGCTTCAAAATAAAAGTAACCTTTTAAAAGAGCCCAGAGAGAGTGACATCTCAAGGCTGTAAGTGCTGGTGGATGCAGTGTGTCCACCAGGAGTTGGCTGGCCCATCACCCCCTCACTGCACTGCCCCGTGTGCTCCCTGCTGCTTAGGCTCACACACTGACCTTCAGCTCCTGCGTCATCCCTGTTTTGGTGAACAGCCCTTTCTGTTTAACTTCTTTGCAATTGTATGTCTGTGATTGAAACAAAAACAGAGCATTGGAACCTGCAGGTGAGGGCGGCACTGCAGAGGCAGGAGGGGTCACTCTTGTTTCTATCCCTCCCTAGGGACGGAGCATGGGGATGAAAGCTAGTGGAATCTCCCCATGCAGAAGTTTCCTCCAGCTTCCTCTTCCTCCCTCTTGGAACTCATCTTGCTCCACTTATGTATCTGATTGGTTCCTAGCAAGAAGGTCTCTGAGAACAAAGAACCTATTTCTTTCATTGTATCCCCCGCACCTGGGAGAGATCTTGGCCTCCAGGAACAGAAAATGACCCCTGACTCCAAGACACCTCCCTGTGGCTCTCAGGCCTGGCTGCTGGCATGGCCACAAAAACGCTTCTTACTTTGGTTGTCTCTGACTTCAGTTGTGGGCAAACTGCCTTGTAGTTCTTGTTCTACAGAGAAAGGAAGCATTAGGATTAGGGGAAGATGGTATCCAAGCCTTTGCAAGAGGAGCCTCCCCACCACCACACATCTGCCTGACTAGCTGCGCTTGAGTGTAGGAACATACATTTCCTGCACATGATCTGCTTCGAGACAATTCAATTCCGGTCATGTTGTCCTAATGAGTGCAGGCCTGCCCTGTCTGCAAGTGCAGAAAGCAGCTGGAGAGAGAACTCTAAGGAAGCCTCATAATGGTTGTTTCATGAGTATGGGCTGTGGGTAGAGCCCTAGGTCCCAATCTCAGCTGTTCTCTCTCCTGGCTCACCAACTTGGGCGAGTTTAGCCCATTGGAGCCTCCCTTTCCTTGTCTATGAAATGGAGGTGATAACTATATTTATATAGAAAAGTTATTTTGAACCTTAGGCTGCCAAACTGGAGGTGGGTGTGGTGCAGGCCTGGCCCATGGCATGGAGCTGTGAGTGGCTGGAGTGGGAGTTCTCTAGAGGCAGTCCACAGGGGCCTTTTCTTTCTCATCCCATTGGTGCCCATGGGCATCAGTCACACACCCAGTCCAGGCTGAGAGGCCATTTATGCTCAGAACAGAGAACCAAACACGGAAGCTCACTTTGGAAGCATGTATACTAACACTGGCACAGTCTCAGTATCCTCCCTGCCCCCTCTCTACTCATAGGAGCTCACAGAGGCCCCATGTCATCCAGAAGTGTTCCTCCTTTACCAGGTTTGTCTTCTTCAGTTCTGCCCTCTTGGCCATGATGGAAGAAGCCAGGGTGTTCTTCAAATTCCCCACCACCCTGCAATAGCCCCCAGGACCAGCCTACTGTTCTATGCAACTTACGGCCAAGGTGAGAGGTGGGTAACCTCCTCTTTATGTGCGGAACAGCTGAGGTCACAATGCTGACCTGGAGTGTCACCACAGCTTTGGGCCTCCATGTCTCAGCCACTGAGATGAGGGGTTCAGGCCAAGACTGAAAGCTCCAGGATCTCCTCCCCATGGTGGGAGAAGGTTCTCCCTGAAAGCTTCACAATGCTGAGAGCTACAGCTTGTCAAGGCCAAGGCACAAGGCACACCTGCCAGGAATCACGGCTCTTCCGGAAGCAGAACTAATCCATGGTTGGGTGCTGTTGCTGTAGACAGATGGCTTCCAGAGTCCCCTTCTCCTGGTTCCTCTAACACAAGGAAATGAGTTGGTCACAGGCAACATGTACACAGTGCTGGAGGTGAGGACAAGGCCATCCTTTTTTTTTTTTTTTGCAGAACCAGGGATTGAACTCAGGTCCTTGCGCTTGCCAGGGAAGCACTTATTCTGCTGAGCCATCTCCCAGCCCCTGACAAGGCCATTCTGAGAGTAGCTTTAATTTGTGTTAACAGTGGAGCGGCAAAGGTACTTAGCATCCCACGGAACCTCAAATCATTTGAAATCCGGGTTTGTCATCCTGATTTCTCTTTTGCCCTTTTCCTGGGCATTTCACTCCCCTCTCTTTTCTTCTTCTTTTTTTTTTTTTTAATGACTACAGTTGACACAAAACAGGCCAGTTTAGCTCCACACTAAACTGTGGGCTCTCTGACAGACAGCCCAGGAGTACAGCAATGGATGCAGATTGTGTGTGATTCACCTGCCCACTGGGGGTAATGCCTCTCACACTTACCCTTGTTTTATGCAGCTGCTTAGCTTGTCCTTGCCAAAGAGCAGGCCACTGAAACTTCCTCCAGAGCTGCTTTCTGCTTCCATTTTTGATGCATTTCCTGGGTGGTGATTTCCCAGGCCCCAACCCAGTGACAGCCCTCAATTCCAACCCAAGTAGAGAATGTATCTGTCACCAAATAGCTACTGGATAGGGCAGGTGGTGGTGAGCTTCCTGGGTGTCATTTCTTCATGGGCAAATGGGGATTGCAACTGTTGGGTTCCTCTGACCACGTAGCTCCGTTCTCCCAGATCCATGGGCCAGAAAGTCGGGAAAGCTGAGAAAGGAACTTAAGTACAAATGACTGATTCCATATCAACATCTGCCAGCCCTGCGAAACTGGGCACCTTCTCCTTTCTTTTGGTTTGGACTGAGAGCCTCATGGACCTGCAGCAAAGTTTTCTTTGCTTAGCTAAGCATTTAAATGAACCACCTTCTAGCCAAACACAGCAATGAGCTCACTGGCCTATGGATTGGGAAATTGGATCTAAAAGAATAAAAGTCTCTGTGTGAAACTCAGTATAAACACACACCCACACACACAACCACACATACATGATATCATTTGGACAGAAATTTAGCAACAGACTTAAGCTTTGGGCTTGGGCCTTCCCATAGTGTGTACTACTCATGCTCCCAAATACGTGCTTGTTGTTGCCCATATATTCAGGAAGGGCTAGGGAAATCCAGCCGGTGAACCTAGATAAGATATATGATATAAGAATGTTTTGCAACTACATGAGGACCAGGTTGAGGTGATGATGTGACATTGGATATTGTTGTGGTATGACTTTGTTCTAGGTAAGCTGTCGGTCGTTCTTACCTGTAGAATCCCAGATATGCTTCTCTCCAACCCACTCACACAGCACACGCTATCAGTCCCAGAAGCTAAGCTTGAAATCCACTGATGTTCCACTGTGTCTTGAGGCAAGAAGGCTAATCGTGACACAAAGGAAGAGGCTGCCACAGTCTCTTTTCTCCAAGGTGATAGCCTTTGGATTTCCTTTCCTTAACAAAGCTCCTGAGGTTTTTCTGATTCATGAAGATAATGTTGGGGAGCAGCAAAGAGGGGAATTTTAGAATGGCCTTCGGCCCTCTTTTGATTCAGGGTACCAATTCCAGGGTCTAGCCCACTACCTATGTGGAGGACCAGAAGAAGAGAATGTTTTGTGTGTTTGAGGGGCCTACTTGACAATGGGGGGCCCCAGCATTCCACAGTCCTTTGATTAGGGAGGAACCCAGAATCCCAGTAGCTGTGGTCTCCATCCAACCTTGACTTGACATGCCTCAGCATATGTGCCCTGATGACTTGTTCCTCTGATACCTAGGAAGTTTATATCCCAGAGGACTGCAGTTCCTGGTGACCACCTTCAGTCACAAACACTCCGTGAGGGTTTTCTAGCCCCAAGGAACCTTGTTATGGTTTCTGTCTAGATGTCCCCCTCAAGCCTTAAGCGATCGTAGGTGGTGCTTCCAGAAGGTGAGGGCTTATAGGTTATGTCGTTAGTCGGTGGGATCTATACAGAAGGCACAGGTCATTGTGGGCACGGCCTAGAAGACTCCATCCCCCTTCTTGGCTCTTCCCTTTGTTCTCTGCTTCCTGTCCACCACACCATGAGCAGCACCACTTTTCCCTGCCCCTGTGCCACCACCCTACCTTGGGGCCAGCCGACTAGGGATTGAAACCTCTACAAACTGTGAGCTGAATAAACCCCTCCTCTTCTAATTTATAGGTGCTGGGTGTCTTTTCCTAGTGATGATGAAAGTGACTAAAACAACCTCTTACCTAAATTTGTTTAGAGACTTCCTATGATTGGTTCCTGCCTTGTCTTACTAGAATGATCTATAGACACCTTAGAAAAGCTTATTCTGTGCACCACACAGGTATCTTTTCTTATTGGCAAATTGATTACCATGCAATTGCTGATCACTTCTACAAATAGTATGAGACTTGGGCTAGAATGTTAATCCCATTACAGTTTCTGTGGAAAAACTATATTCAGTTTATAGCACATGGACTTTCTGTTTCTTTGTTTCAGGACCAAAACAGATTCTGAGTGGCTCATTGTAAATCTCCAGCTATTTTAATACAACTGAGGATAAGTGAAAAGTCACAGCAAGGGCCAGCCAGATAGCTCAACGGACTAAAGCATCTGCTTAGGCAGAGCACAGTGGCCAGAGTTCAATCCCCCCATGTTGGGCCGACCCCACCCCTGGGGCATGCCAACAGTGATTGAGACAGGGTGGCCTGTAATCCTAGCACTTGGGAGGCTGAAAACAGGAGAATCACTATGAGTCTAATCTGTGTAGTGGGACCCTGTAGACCCTGTACCAAATACACGAAAGAAAAAGAAAGAAAGAAAGAAAGAAAGAAAGAAAGAAAGAAAGAAAGAAAGAAAAAAGAAAAATCACAGCAAAAATGACTGTGTGAGGACTGCTAGCTTTCCTTACCATGGCACATCTTGCCAGGCTTTCCAGGACCACAACTGAAAATTAGAGAGCAGCCTACTGTGTGAGGTAATGCAAGAGCCCCCAGCCATCAGAAGCATCCAGCTGCTGGAGCCCCTGACTTAGTTTCCCATCTTTGGATAGGACCTAAGTAGAGAGAGGACAGTTATTTCCCTCCTTCCTCTCTCAGCCTCCTGGCTAGAAGGCTCTGTAACAGTTGCTATCCCAGTCCCTCAAAGTGTCCTCTCGGCATCTGCTGACAACTTCAGATTCCCATGGTAAAACTGAGTGACACCAAGACTCTGTGCTCTGGAGGACAGAGGGGTTGTGGTTGGGGGCTGTGCTTCCTGCAAGAAGGATCACAGACAGGAGGGTTTCATGGACTCATGCTGGGAATAGCCCTGGTCACTCCCTCACACTGGAAAACAACCTAAGACTGTATCTGAACACAAAAGAGACTGGAAAATATGGCCAACCTTCTCCCACAAGTAAAGGAGATAGGCTCAAGAAGCTGGGAGCCAATCTCTGCCATACTTTACTAATGCAGTTTGTCTTTTTTATTCTCTAACAAGTTTCTTTACAAGTTAACTTGATTTTTTTCTTTCTGTTTTTAATATAAAGGGGGGATAGATAGTAGCTTACAAGGTCTAAAAGGGAAACTTATACTGGACATTGATCTAGGAGGCAACCTGCAAGAGCTAAGATTAGTGTTTGGGACTCACTTCTTCATCAGCTGACTGGCCAATGGGCTGGCACAATGAGACAGAAATTCTCAGAGTGGTCCAGTCTGTCCAAGGCTTTTCAGAACAATGCTCCCTGTCTTTCCTGGGACCATTGGGTTACAGAAATCCTCTCTTCCCACCCTAGGCTCATCTCCTGCAGTCATCAGAATGTGGGGCTGGTATGAAGCTGCATCTGCTCATCTAAGTCCTCTGAACATCACTGGGGCCAAACTGAGATGTCTAAATGTTGCCAGCGCCTTCCTGGGGCTGAGCTGCTCTGTTTTCTTTTAATGTGAGTAGCCACAACCTTCTCCCAACAGACCTTTCATGCTAGCCTTAAGAAGTCAATTTGATTGGACCCCTGCCTGAAAACATTTATTTCAGGGTCTCACCCAAATACAGACAAGAAGAACTTGGACCAAATTTTCTCAGAACCCAGAGAGGGTGGTTGTTGGTCGGTTTCCCATCAGTCAGTTTGGCCACTGACAATTTCCTGTCTGGTTTGCCTCCTTGTCTTGAGCGTTCTGCTCTTGGAAGTTAGTAGCATCTTAGAGCTGAATCCATGCTAAGACTGGTCTAGAAGCTGTGTAAATCTTCTTCCTTAGTAAGGGTTTAGAGTCATGGGCTGGGGACAGAGCATCTCCTTTTTGGAGCTATGGTATGACAAAGGCTCAGGAAGCTGTAAAGCTAAGAGTCACATGGAAAGCGCCAGTGTTTAAGTTGGTCTTGAGACCGAGCAGCTGATGATAGATTCTGCATTCCAATGTGGAGAGAGCCAGGGAAGAAGGAGGAGAGACAGACCGGGTTCCAGGGTGAGCAGAGTTGACCTGGGTGGCCTCTGGGGGGCTGAGTTGCGAGTGAAAGGATCTGGGTGCACTGACGGATTCAGGATACGTGGTTTTCCCCGGATTTGCTCCTTCCTTCTTGTTAGCAGGCTGTAGACTTTTCTCCTTTGTTGGCAAAGAGCAT